GCCAGGTGATAGGAGCCCCTACCACATGTAAATAAAGCACACTATGAGCACCTATCAGCTGAAGCTTTGGCTGCTGCCTCCACACTCTATTTTCCCTGACCCCCACTGAATAAATGGAGCTGTTTCACTGAATCTGACTCCCTGGAAGGGCTTTCTTCCATCAGTGCTCACTGGCCATCCTGATCCCATTCGCCACTTCTGCTCCCCCTGCCCTCGTGGACCAGTGGCCAATGACCCGTGAAGAGCGGGAGAGACCCCCACAGCTGGCACCCAAATGTGAGGCTCCTGGAACATGCAGAGTTTGTGAGTATCCCTCCCATCAGGAGGGTAACGGGCAGCTTTGCCTTTAAGCCGTCCCACCCGTGAGGATCGGCAATCTCTTTTTCCTATCACCTCCCATCAGGAGGATAAAGGCAGCTTTGCCTTTAAGCCGTCCCACCTTTGAGGATTGGCAGTCTCTCCTCTTTTTCCTCCTTTTATTTTCAGCCTGAGTCTTCACGTGGGACCGTTAAAGACAAAGGAGCAATTGAGGCTTTCTGATCAGGGCTACTCCCTGATGCGTTAACCTACAAATAACAAGGCAATGTCCACTGGCTTGGTACCCACTCCTTGCAGCAGACTTAAAAGAGCTGCGCCAAGCTGTTCATGAGGATGGGATCCATGCTCCATGGACAAACTCTATACTACAAACCTTAAATTTGCGGGCAGGCTTGCGCTGTGGACTACATGGAATAACCTGGGGTTTTGATCCCAGGCATGTTCCCTTAAAAATCAGCATTTCACCCCACTTTCCTTTTCTATCTTAAACAAAGTACAATGGGAGGCTTTATTTAGAGATGAATGTCTGATGCAGGTTGAAAGGAATGACATACATAATCAACAGGTGAGACCACAACAAGGGCAAGATCCACCAGCGCCCCTAAAAACAAAAATCCCCAACATTCTAAGGGATCTTTATATAAGCCTTAAAGTCAACTTCTAAAATAAACTTCCCTAATCTGTTCAGTTACCTTGCCCCTGGGGTGCTCAAGCCCAAGCTAAACCAGTTAGGTGAGAATTTAAATTAACTAGCCCCTGCGGAGCACTTAAAAAATCAAGGTGGCTTGCGCCGTATAAACAAACAAACAAAAAATTTTAAAAGCCATTTTTTTTCCTGTAAACCTTAAATCTGCAGCTAGGCTTGTGTCCGTCAGAGTGTTTCAATCCCCTGGTGGCTGATTGCTCCAGGAACATTAAATGCCAGACAACACTTTTCTTTTTATAATGGGTAATTCAGCATCATGCCAAAAAAAACTCCAAATTCTCTCCCTTAGAGCCCTGCTTAAATCAAGAGGACTTAAGATTGTGCCATGTACCAGGCCTCCTCCCTTGCCCAAGCCTTTGTAGTTGCAACCCAACCCAACTCAAAATGCTTTAAATGTGGAGAAACCAGACACTGAAAAGAAAATTGCCCCAAAAATGGTTTGGCTGTCACTTGACCCCCTAAAACCCTCTGTCCTCTCTGCAAAAGGGGCTTTCACTGGAAAAGAGATTGTAAATCTAAATATGACAGAGATGGCAAGCCTCTGCCACCTTTAAACTCCTTCCAGGGCAGCCCTCAGCCCCGCTAACAAGAGGGAAGCCACAAACATTATGGGTAACCAGTATTACAGAAAATACCCATCCAAAACTAACCATAAAAATAGACAATAAACCTTTCAAATGCCTCCTTGACACTGGGGCTGATAAAACCATCTTAAGGCGATCTGAGGTTCCCCCA